GGGGAGGATTGGAATTATAGGGGAGAAAAATAAGCAGGATTAGTCGAGAGTAAAAAATGAAATTGTTCACAGTTATCAAAAGTCGCTATAAATAAACGAGGGAAACAGAATTGTGCTTGAAGTAAACATTCTCCGCGACAAAATGAACACACTGAAGACTTATTTTTAGAAAAGCCTTTCTCTCTACCACACGCCCTGAAAAGAATATACAAAAGCCTTTGTTGAGCCTTTTCAGTCCCGGATCTGGGATCGTAAATTTGTACAGAGGAGGCCGATATACGGGATCTGAATGCTGAGCGATTCCAGAAAATATCAATTGTGCCCATTTTCCGTTCTGCCAGCCTACAATTTATACAATTTGCTTAAAAGGCCTATGTGTGTGTGTGTGCGCGCCCTTTTTCCATTACTGGAGCTAACATTTCAGAATTTACGACCCGTCAAAAAATCATCTGAAAACACAGGTTATCAATAATAAAACGGAATTGCATTGTCATGCAGCTTCACACCTCTCCTGTTATAATTAGAGACAAGATAAACGAAATGAGTCATATCATTGGAGGGATGAGGGTACGACAAGCAAAGAACAGAATGTTAAGTGCGCTTAAACATTTGTGTATAAGGGATCGCTCATAGACAGACAGACAGACAGTAAGGCATATAGATAGACAGATATACAGACAGTCAGACAGACAGACAGACAGACAGACAGACAGACAGACAGACAGACAGACAGACAGATAGACAGACAGACAGGCAGTCACTCAGTCACTCAGTCAGTCAGACAGACAGACAGACAGACAGACAGACAGACAGACAGACAGACAGACAGACAGATAGACAGACAGACAGACAGACAGACAGACAGACAGACAGACAGACAGACAGACAGACAGGCAGACAGACAGACAGACAGACATGCAGATGGACAGGCAGACAGACAGATAGACAGACTGATAGATAGAGATAGATAGATTGATAGATAGATAGATAGATAGATAGATAGATAGATAGATAGATAGATAGATAGATAGATAGATAGATAGATAAGATCTTATTTATTTATATACTTCTTCATCTATGTGCTCTAGAATAGAAAATAAAAGCAACAGTGCAATATGTCTAAAATTCTTTCCACTACAAAAATGGAACGCTGAATACAACTTAATTAGACAACATATTAGATTATACAAGCTTATTAACAAATCCCTGCTGAGAAGCTGTGCCCCCCCCCCCACACACACACAGACAAAAACCCATTCCTTTTATTGGGGGAGGGGGCACGGTGTCATCATATGCAACGTGGAATAAAAATATGTAGACAATAAATGCGTGTCAAGCAGATCATTCAGAAAAATCAAGCATGAGAAGAAAAAATAAAGGCTGACGGATAGTTTGACAGCATTTTCTGGATTTGGATCAACATTGAAAAACTTGTTTTCTCGTTTTTCTGTAAAAGAATTGTAATGTACCATAAAAAAGGTTCGTTGAAAAGAATGCCGATAAAACCGTTATGAACAAAAGTGCAAACACCAAAGTTTGCAGAAACGTGGAACATCCATCCGGATTTATTCAATAACAATAGACAGTGAATGCCACAAGCACAGTTACAAGATATTTTTAGATACCCCCAATTTCGAGTAAGGCATTTTCTGACACGCTGAGTGAAATATTGACATTCATGCGTTGATACTGCTCGAAAGAAATCTCTGTTGGGGCCTCCGTGATGGTCTCTCTCAAGTCTTTGATACTTTCGAAGGATTTTCCCACAAAGTTTGTCCTTCAAACATTCCTAATGGTGAAATTCCAGTGGACTCAGGTCTGGATTGTTTGGGGTCCCGTCGAGCTCAGTCGGACTGACTGTCTTGTAATCAAAAATGGTTTTAGACCCAGCCCAGAACAGTTCTGGCGTCATGAGGAGCAGCTCTATCTTGCTGAAAGTGAAAGTGCTGGTTCTTTCTCCCTTCACTATAAAAAAAGTCCAAAGCCTCTCCAGAACTTTGGTAAGATGACAAGGCGTCGCTCAGAGTTCACCGAATGACGGACCACAGTAACCTTTTCAGAGTGCGTTGTCTTTACGGGCTGTCTACCGTGAGTTACCCAGCGTTTAGAATTCAAATCTTTTTTTCTATGAACAAAGTACTTTCAAAATGTGCAGCCCATTACATAATGGACCTTTCCCTTGGGAAATTTTGTTTGTTACAGATATTTACCCTGTCTTCCCTGGCAAACCATGAATAGGTCGATTTGGGAGATTTTGTTTGCTGATACATCTAAACTGAAAAAGCATGCTGTACAGGGGCTAACTGATTTATCATCTTTCCAACAGCACTTGAATTTCTTGAAAAACATAATCCGGATGTATGTTCTAGCTTTCGGTCAAGTTTGATGTCAACAGAGTCATAACAAATAAAGTTATTTGCATTTCTTTTAAAGAACTTTTTTTTCTGGTTAACTGGTACATGAGCCAATTTTTGCATTTTAAAGGTAGCAATCCATATGTGCGGGACGGCAGCGGCAGCGGCACAGCAGCGGGACGATATGTGCGGTACCGCAAGTCACATTAAATCCATATGTGCAGCAGCGGAACGGCAGCGGGACGAAATGTGCGATATCGCAAGTGGCAAATTCAATAGGGGAAGGCATAACTTCGCCAGTATTGTAAAGTTGCAATTATCTTGATCTTTTGTCACTAGCAAAACGAACAAGTCTATCCATTCCTTTGCCATTCAGGACAGCTCAGAAGGTACCATTTGGGCATATCAAGAAAATGGGTGGATGAACGACAACATAGGGGTGCAATGGTTTCAGCAAGTTTTCCGTGTCAAATGAAATGACTGCATCACACAGAGATTCTTCACAGTCATGAGTCAACCCTATTCCCCCACATTCATATTTTTGTCTGCGGCAGAGCTGCGGCAGCGGCAGAATCGCTCCTGGGTGCGATTTTTATCGTCCCGCTGCCGTACCGCTGCCGCTGCCGTCCCGCACATATGGATTCAGACATTGATATTTCTGTTGGAGCGATTGTTATCGTCCCGCTACCGTGCCGCTACCGCTGCCGTCCCGCACATAAGGATTGTCACCTTGAAACAGATTTTTAAAACAGCCCACGGCTAGTCAGGTCACCCGGCATCTGTGGTGTAACGGTTACGGGCAAAAACTGTTGCTAAGCAGGATACAACGTTCCACAGACAGACGGAGATACTTGGACTTTAAAAAATGCCAAAAACGGAACCCTGCCCCCCCCCCTCCCCAAAACTTCCCTACTTGGGAATCGAGCTCACACCCTCTGTGCAACCTGCAAATAACTTTACCGTTAATCCACAGACACCGATAAGCTGGCCGCATTTCAATAAATCCAGTAAGTACGAAACAGACAGCCTGAGGGTGCATGGTATAATTACTGTGTACACAAACCTCAACTACAAATAATATATCCAAGCTATCATTTCATAACAATGGCAAAGACAGGAGAGTCGTATTCTGCTTCCTCAGTGATGGCATTAATTCAGAAAGATAATAAATGATGCTCCTGATCGTCACATGCAGTTGAGTCTTTGCAAGCTCTGGCAAAAAGAGTAAATTAATTCAATACATGCGTTTGGCAGTAAAGAAGCAGAAAAGTTTGGGTTAAGATGGCGAAGGGTCAGAGAGGACAAATTAACATGAGGCGAAAAACATATGTTGAAATGACATGCAAATACGGTGCACGCACTTAACCTGACTAAAAATGTCCCGTCTTAAAAATTCTTCTTCAACTTCAAGGACTTCCTTTTCTAGGCAGTTTTAAATTATCCACGACTGAAAAAAGGGATCTTCACTGACTTTCAGTTAATTAGTACAGACGTAAAGGGTGAAAAATGGTGAAATGGTATGTGTTTAAAGCCTCTATCAACACTATTAGGATATTTAAGACTCGGGACCTCCGACTTTAACGTCCATCTCCGAAAGGACCTAACCAAATGGGAATTTCGTGTATAGTGCCTTTTCCAAGGGCACAACGTCTGATCGAACTGTGCTCGAACCCCGAACCCGTCAACATCACGATTACGAGTCCGTTAGCCTAGCCACTTGGATACAAAAACGTTACGGGGACGAGCAAAGGAAAATGAAATGATAATAATAATAATAAAAGAATAGGACGTCCCTTTTTGTCAATATGTGGGTTGTGGCTTTCGAATTCCTCGAGATAACTTTGAAAGTCTTAATGCATCCTTCTTTCTTGCTGACCTCAATAACAGGCCATAACTTCATTAACAAGATAAAACTTTCCAAGAGCACTCAGTGGAAAAACCACAATCCAATTTACAAACCCATTTTAACTAGATGTTTGCACCTTCATACAAACATTGTTCCCAAATAGTCTAAATATAAGTAACAGGACAAAAAGAAATATTTGAAGATGCAAGGTAAGCGATTCAGAATCAAATAATAAAAAAAAAGAAATAGAAAATAAAAAAATCGAATTCTCCTTTTGATATTTTACAAAAGAACACACACACACACACACGCACACACACACACACACACACACACACACACACACACACACACACACACACACACACACACATACACACACACACACACACACACACACACACACACATACTCACACAGCCTACGAAACAACTACTTTAGTAAGTTTATACAAAATGAACTTGCTTCAAAGAGTGGGGATAAGATCAGAAGATGAATAGCTCATGATAGAAAGAATAACATCAAAGATCAAAAGTGTAGAACAAGCATTCATAGCAATTTAATGTGCAATAATATTGCAAAACCAACTGCTTTCATAAATCCCTGCAACCTGCAAAAAAGTAAACTCTCCACATGAATAGAATACCGTCACCACTAGATGTAAATACCAATTAATGTTGGTCCGTGCTCTGTGGGATCCATTGATAAAGATAAAAGGGAATGATTTTAGAACAAAAGTCAAGAAAAATGCTTTGCAATGTGATATAAACAGACGTAGCAAATGCTGATCGAATGAAGAACAAAGCCAAAAGCAAATCACCATCAAAATATATTTTTGGAAACATATTTTTGTACTCCAAAATTCTGAACAGTGTCCTTTCTTTGCCAGTTCGCACTAAGCTCAGCCAGCCTCGGCAAACTTACCATTTTTATCGACTTTCGTTTTGCTTTTCTCGGCGCCCTTCTCCCCGTCAGCAATTTGAGCGTACCCAATATCCTCTGTACCAACTTCCGGTGTCGGGGAAGTTGTCTTCGGTCCGCCATTGACTACTGGCTTCCCGTCCTCCTCCTCTTCTTTCTCTCCTTTTTCCTCCTCAGCATGATTGTCTCCTTTCAATTCTGTGTTAGTGTCATCAGAACTACGGCGTTGCCTCCCTTTAGTTCCGAAAAAACCACAGCAGAGTGTCAGAAAGTTTCCTCCGGAGTAGTCTGCAGTTGACAGTTTCTTACTGAACATTGTTCGCTTCTCACAGAATTGGGTCTCCAGGCGAAAAGCCTGAGTCCCAGAAAAGTTGAAAGTTTTCTTGTTTTTGTTCTTTCTTCTTCACGCTGTACCATTTATCCCTCTCCTGAACAGAATTGTAATTCGACTTTTATACGGCCACAGGCACACACAAACTCACATACACAATGCACGACTTGCAGTTTGGTCTTTGGTTTCCGAAACAATACGACGAAAATAGTGGCTTGCTGGCTCGTATTTGTTTTTTCCAAAACAGTACGCAAAAGAAGTCAAAGACTACTAACTGTACTACAAGTAGGTAGTCTGTTGTGTCACATGGTCCCTGTGGTGAGATTCACTGGCCTTTTTAGGGACATTCACCACATACACTTTGAAGTTTAAACCTACTTCTACATCTGTGGAGAAGAAACATGGGGCGATCTCTTCTATCAGAAACGTTCTATAGCGTAATTTAAGTTCTTAAACTGATGAAAGCAGATTTCATAGAAATAATGGGCGAGTATCAGTCTCGGGTAAGATAGAAGGACTGATTTACAAAGGTACACATACAGAATTAGGGGAAGACATGACGGTAGACATGATATGCAGGGTAGATCTACATGGGTTTCACCTTTCCACTCGACCACCCGCTAAAAGGGAAACGCAGAAAGGCTCCGTCGAGAGAAAGAGGAGGAAAGAGACAGAATTAAGAGAAAGAGAGAGAGAGAGAGAGAGAGAGAGAGAGAGAGAGAGAGAGAGAGAGAGA